AGCGTTGCGAAACAAACATTACGGTTTGAATTAGATTTGCGAATGATATAATCGCGATTTCGAATAGAATTGTTTTTAGTACTTGTCCTTTGAAATTGATTTAAAGGTAACTTTGAGTATGACAAACATCGATCGCGTTTGATTTTAATACTAATAAATATAAAGCATGATTATGTTAACTGGTACATATTTCTTTTGATTTTGGGATAGCGTTGCGATTAATTGAATACACGTGTTTGTTACAACGCACTTTATTGGATACAATTTTGACTTATTAAAGTAGTGTTGCGATATTGATCGATTGCGTTTTTATTAGTGTTGCGACAATGATTTTTCACGTTGCTTAGAGTTGCGTTATATTAAATGCTCACAAATATGCTTGAACCATAAGAATAACGAAGCAGCTTGTATTATTGTGAACGGTGGTTCATAGCACCTACAATAGCTGCACATTGTTGCCCGCAGCAAAATGGTTGCCCCATATTGTTAAATGTAGTTTTGCGTATAATAGAACTGGTGCACGCGGGTTATTCATTTTATATTAAATAAATTAGAGTTGTAATCGATACTGACATCTGCCTGTATATTAAATTTCATATAAAAGTAAGTTTCTGTTTCTGAGAAACCTGATGAAATTCTATGCTGAGAATAGAATCTATTTTAATTATAATTTAATTTAATTTATTTAACATTTGTTTCTGCTTTAGAGAAGATTATAAACGTAATTGTAAATAAAAATTGTACCTGTCTTCTTAGACTCCATTTCTTAAATTATATTCATGTACTAATTGAATAAGACAGTTTCTGTTTCAGAGAGGACTGACAGGATTAGAAGATGGCATTCTGTGGAGGTTGAAGATAGAAACAACCATTTAACAAACTCTGCTGTTCAAAGAATACGCTCATTCGGAAGTCCTTTTCCTTTTTAATTTCATTTACTTTAATTTGACTACAATTTTATTTTCAGTGTAATTTAATTGTAATCCTGATTTAGATAACTTTAACTTATCCTACTGTAACATCTCGTAATTTTAGCTTGCTCTAATCTTAGATTCATCTACCTTAATTTCATTTTCATTGAAAATCAATCGCGCTTTAATCATTTTTATTGCAGGGGACAAAATGTGTTACTACACAAACACTTTTTCATCTTCTAATTTAAATCCACTTATTTAAAAACTAATTTTAATCCAATTTGAATCTAATTTTATTTTAACATTGACACATTATTCATTTATTCTTAATACATTTATTATTTTAGCCGCTCATTTACAATTATCTTACAATTATTCTACAAATATGTTAGTATTATATTTCAGTATAGACTGAAGAAGGATTAATATTAAATGCGGTAATTTTAAGTGCATTAATAACAAGATTTAGAACTAAAAGGGGAGGTCGATGGAATACAATATTCATTGACCTCCCTGGGTCTCGTTCGCAGCAACTTTCACGTGGTGAGACCTGGAAAGTAGCACTATTGCTAATACAGTAGTTCCTATCGAGGATCTAGGCCAATCAGCTGCAAATTTATATGATGCATGTTACAGTATACCGAGTAGTTGCTCGTTAGCTTCATTTACCTCCTTATTAATCGAAGACTTCTTCTGTGATTTCTCTTATCTTCAAATCAAGGATTTCTTTCTTGATTCACTCCTTTTTCTCTCTTAGTTCATTAATTCTTCGCTATACGCGGCATTTCCATGTACAGTTTAAGATAGAAATAAGTCTCTTTTAAGTTAACCCTATGATAAAGAAAGAAAACATCGATTATACGCCGTGGGAAAGTTCTTTTTTCATTTGAGTATAGTATACAATCTTTCCACTATACTGAATAATCCTTGCCGTTCTACGCATGGCATACAGTGCACATAGCTGTAAGAATTATGACCTTTCGAAAATCTGCGCTTTTGACTGGTATCGCCATCCGTGGCAAAATGCTCAATCTGGTAGACAAATGTTAGTGATGTGGGAATTCACGCGGATTGACTGTGGCGCCATCCATTACAAAATGCTCCGATTATTAGACAGCAAAGTTTGAGCACTTCACAGGAGATGCGGCTACGTTATCGTTGCTATGGCGTGTTTATTTATTCAATATATTATTTATTTACAATGTTCACTAAATTATAATGTTGAAATATTTTATCGACCATCTTATGTGACAGCTTGTTTCTAACTGACTATTTACAAAAAGAATATCACGGATATTAACAAAAGAATTTTAAAATGTACAGTTAAACGATTTCTAATAACAAACAGAAATTGACTTTATCTACATTACCGACACATTGGCTACATTGCGAATAGAAGGTGTTGTTATCCTACAATATCATCAACTGCAAACGGTTAAACGCCTAAGTCAATATGACAGAGCGTGACATGGAAATCGTTCTGTGACCGCCGAGAGCGTGTGACAAAATTTTACATTGCTTGTCATGTCTATCCTATAACTCCTCTGAGAAGGTATGTGTGTTGGAAGTGTAATAGGTAAGTTTAAAAGTGATTTGAAAATGTAGAAAGTATGCATTACGATATGAATAATTTAACAGAAACTTTTTGTATAACGTTACACCAACATTCGACTAAACGTCATGTTTAGCACATATAAATACCTGAAACGAAAATTGCTTAGACTAAGTGCAAACTGTTGCACACTATAAGCAGTAAGTACTTATGTAATTGTGTTTCTTTCTCATGTAACGCATACCAACTATTATAACAGTAAACTGAATGTGCGGAAGTAGATTCTTTCCCATAGATCAATCAAATTGTCAACACTGCTTTTAGTATCACTGGTACAGCAATATGTTTCCCAGAAGACTGTTAAAATTACGTACAGCATATCACGATCATGTTTTATAAATAGGAAATAAAGTAATGTGGGTAATTATAAACAATTCGAGATTGTACTGCGAAGTAAAATGACATGGGTCGGTACAAGTTTTTTTTAGTCTTCGGTATCTTTACGGTGTCTTTAACGTGGAAGCATCTTATGCTTTTTTACTTGTTGTCCCGTTCAGTTTTTATTGATCGGCACGACGATCTGCGCACTTGTATCTGTACTACGAGCAGTGTGATTGATTTACGAAAATCAGTTCTCGTAACTTGGCGACATGACAAAAGGTAGATACTTAGAATTATATATATTCTGTATATAGAATTATTAATTATTTATATTTAGAACCTATACGATTTTAATATGGATCATCTATTAAAATTTCCATACAATCAGAGTTGAACTGAGAAATACGAGAAATATAAAATTAATAATTACCATAATTTTAAATTAATGTTACTCTATTTCTGATACAGCAAATATAATATATTTATACTTATAAAATAATATTTGTACTAGAGAATTAATAAATGAAGTAATTTGTGGTAATGTGGCCTCCTCGTAATTTTCCATATTATTACAAAAACATCTAGCAACTAATGGCGTCCTTGGCTGAATCTATTCGAATTATATATGGGTGAACAAATTTTTACTACATAATGCATTATTTCTGTTAATAAAGAACATAATTATATCGTTATGCCGTTCCGAAAAAAAGTAATTTTTACAAATTATGTAAGTTAATGAATCGTCTATTGGAATAAATTTTACAGAAAATTTGCAGAATCGATATTTATAAGTGAAATTATTTTATTATTAATTTTCAAATATAAAGTAAATTTCAAATCAAATATAAACCCCCTTCCCCTAAATATTTTCGCTCGATACTTTAAATATTTTCGTGGACCAGTGTGTTTACAAAAGTCCGTGCAATCGAAGTATCGTATTTTACAATTAATAATTCAGCTATTGTAATTTTTGACTGTGTTATTCGAGACTCTTTGTAACTCAAGTACCGTTATTCGATGGTTGCTCTTTACTGGTATTCCTTTATCTTCAATTTCAGACTTCCTTCCTCTTAACCCCTTGCCTTATAATGACGTGTTATACTCGCGGTGAAAATTTTAACACGATGACCGCCACGACGATCACCGGTGACTGGAACTTCTAAAGTCCTTGAAAATAATTGCAAGAGGAAAACTGATGTCGAGTCGAAATATTTAGTTGCATAAGTAACTAAATAATAGTGCAACTTAAGAGCTATGCTACTAAATCATCAATAATTAATTCCAATACCATTTGTCTTTGTTATGAAAGAATAAGTAACGTTATACAAAATGCTCAAAATTCTCGTGGTGGTCAACATGTTAAAGAGAATTTAATGAGTACAAATATAACTCTGTTCTTTTGAATTCAAATGAAATATTGCTCGTCTGTTATCAATTATCATACCTTTCACTATACATTGTCACAGAATATATGCAGAATTTTTCTTTCTTTTCAATAAATGATTAATGATAAAGTAGTTGTATCAATCATGGTTGAGAAATATAACCCATAGGGCGTTTTTTTCTTGATTGTTATTTCCATTATACAAAGACGATTCGTTGCATTAAAGAAAATACTGTAACTGTAAAGATTACTACTGAAACAAACGCTGGTTGCGAACGTGTCAACATTTTATCTGCCGTTCCTTCACACAACACGGTTTTTTCTAAGGCGCAGGAGTGTATTTTTTTTTACTTGCGATCGTCTATAACTTTAAAATCGAAGCATAAAGGAATCTCGTAGTGTCGTTCTGATTTCTTTTGTTTCAAAGCAGCGTAATTTTAATAGATTATAAATTATTAAGTATTTCTAATTAAAAAGCCGATTAATATTATTTTAATTGAATTTTAACCTGTTAATTATGGAATTTAATTTCAGAAATCTCTGATAATACTCGCAATGAAATCAAATAATAAAATGTATACTCGTCTATTGCAGTTAACTGATTAAAGCAGCGTAACTTTAATAGACTATACATTGTTAATCATTGTTAATTGAATGGTCGATTAATATGCTCACGATAAATAAAGTGTTAATTATCTCTAGACCATCGTGCGACCATTCATAGTTTACCATTTCTATTGTCCGTGTCGACGAAACTCCGTGAGCCATTTCCTCCGTGTTCTCTCGAGCATCCCCCTTCTTTCTCACCCCTGCTGCATTCCCGAGAGGGGATGGGACGGGGCGCGAAGGTGTTCGACGTGTGAAGAGAGCCATCGTGCGGTGGCAAGCACGTTGTTCGTCACTCGTTCGATGATCAGGTGGCCGACTCGACTACGTTAAAACGGTCTCGCATCCGGACGAACCCGCGCGGTGGCCATTTATCATCGGCGGATGCCGGCCCGCGATATTCGGGATCGCTCGCCGACGTTCTCGTACGCCGATCCCGGTCCTCTTCATGCTGGAACCAGCAAATCGCGCGGACTCGCACGCTCATCCTCGCCGACCGTAGACGGAAGTCGACAGGTAAGGCGGTTGAAAGAGAGGGAGACAAAGAAACAAAAAAAAAATACACGGAAAAGATAAGAAAACAGAGAGACAAGAAAAGGAAAAAGCGGTGACTTCACTCGACACACGGAAATTATTCCGCTCGCCTATTGCTGTTCGTGAAATTTATGTCACTCGCTTATGCAAGCCGCCTCGGTAGCCGTTGTTCGCCGCACGATTTCGTAGTGGCCATTTTGACGTCACCACACGAACGTTGTTTTGACGGTTTTCCTTCTTTTCTTTGTTTTTGGGATTCGATCGTCGGTTCGTGGTGGATTGCTTTTATTACGCGTATCAGTCGATGTGCTTGTTGAGAAGTGTTTCTGCGGAGAAAGTGGTCGCCGCGGATTTTAGAACATATGGCGAGAAAATTTCTGGGGCATTTTTATTCTAGTTGTTCAAGTATTTTGTAGAGTTTCTAGATGTAGTTTGATTTATTTATTGATTATTTACGTTAGCTGTTTATATTTTAGCTTATTAGATTGATTGTAGGAATGCTTATGATTGTAGATTTGAATGGAAGGTATTGTTTATAGTGCTTTAATAAGAGTACTTTCTACTGAAGTTATCAGAAAGTTTTTTTATAAAATAAGTAACTTAATCAGTTTACTGAAATAATTCTTTACAGTGTATATATTTTGTTATCAATTCTGAATATCTCTAAAGGCTTCTATTGAATAAAACGTAGAGAAATGTTTGTAATGTTGATTTTGCTTCACGTTGATGCTTAAGTTCCATTTTATTGGAAACAGTTATTTTTATATTGGTAGAAAGAATTGGAACTTAGTGATCAATTCTATTGCAAACTAAAAACGTATTTATACACGTGTTCTATTTTTATTTTATTGCCAATTTTTAAATCAGCGTTACCAGTCGAATGGTAAACTTAAACAATTATAAGTGGCCAGTAAAATCTAAAAAATGATTCCTACGTGTATTCTCTGGAAAAGTGTTTCTCAACAATTAATTACAATAATCCCGAGTTAATATTCACATGTCGAAAACAAAATTCTTATTGCCTCGAACAACGCATTCTTGAATTTAATCATATTACCGATAACGATGAGTAGGTGCTCACCTATAACATTTGAAATTACCATTTTTAGAACAGAAACAAGTTCCTCCTCGTTTCCACTTGTTCTCCTCCATTCGTATTTTCTTGGTAATTCTCAATTTCCACGTCGCCGTCGCCAAAGCAATTCTCGTCCGACTCGATGAAACTGAAAAGACCACTTTTATCCGTATGTTAAAAAAAAACGTGTTTCTCAGTGATTCTGCTTTGTTATCCTCCGTCCACGTTGAAGTGCATAAAAATAAGCGCGTCATGTTCTTGCTCCCGTCGTGAAACCATCTTTGCCGGATACCGAGGGGGACAGCGCCTCATTAAACGCGGCACAGTCTTTGCGTGAAGAGTGTGCGTCACCTCGCTTTCTTTATTTCGATCTACGGATTTTTGTGCATCAGTGATCATGCCTTCGTAAACACGAAAAAGAAACAGAAAGGAAAGGAAAAAAACGAACAGGTTGAACGCTGTCATGCAGTGAAACGTAAGGGGGTGGCGCGAATTGTTCACGGAAAATCGCTCGATCTGAAGAAAGTAAATTCGTAAATTCCCGAAAGAAACTGGATCGAAGGAAAAATCGGAAACAAAGGAGAAGAGAGCAGAAAGTAATGAAATTCCGGGCGGAAAATCGAAATTCTCGAGAAATCGCGGTAAATCGGACGGATTTCGTTTGAGGATCTCTCGGTTTCTGGTTCCCCCGTGAAACGAAGCCGGTTTTTGCACGCGTTTCGGTTGACGCAAATCGAGAATTGATTTCGAACGAAGGGGAGGATGAATGATCCGATAAGTGGCCGTTAATATTACGCTGAAAGGGACCGTTACTCCGATTCTCTTGGACGTTTTGCACCACGCTGGGCGCGACGAGAAATTGGCTTCGTCTCTTAACAAGTTCTGGTTTAAGGTGTGTGAAAATGCCGGGTACTAAGGCAATTGCACAGCTGACAATCACAACGTGAGCGGTTTGTTCGTTTACGCGGATCATCCGGGGGATAATGATTACAGAACAGACCTGGAGCATGATGCTGGACAGCGATGTCGCGGGCATCAATGAGTAAGTATTACGTGTGAACCTCGATTACCGTCCTTCTTCTTCTTTTGTTTTTCATTTACACCTATTAGAACGTATCTGCGCGTATAAGGTGGAACGACAAACACCATTTTCTTAAGGTTTTTGGAATATTGAGTATCTAGCAATTTTGCCTTTGAGAGATTGGAAGTATTGGTGTGGGTGCAAAATCTTGGTTCAATTGTTAATGTGGTGTTTATGTTTTAATGTATGAATAAATATTATGGATGGTAAATGCGACAACAAACATCATCTTCTTAAGATTTTTGAGTTTTTTAGCATGTAGGAATTTTGCACTTAAGAAACGATGGGGTTGGTTTGGCTAAAAAGTTTTAATTCAATTTTTAATATGGAGTTTATGTTTTAATATATAGATATATATTATGAATAAGCAAATAGGTCGACAAAAATCATATTTTCAAGGTTTTTGAGATCTCGAGTGTCAATTTTGCCCTTAAGAGATGAAAAATATTGATTTGGCTAAAAAATCTTATACCACTTTTCATTGTAGCGTTTATATTTTAATATACAAGTAAATACTACGAATGAATAAAGTAAAGAGCGATGGGAAGTTCCTGAGAAGATTTAATGAAGGAATTGTTTAATGAAGCTTAATTTAATAGAGCGAAATTTTCTGTTATATTTCCCTCAAAAACGTGATACGGGCTTCTGGCTAAGGTATTAGTATTGTCATCTACAAGTGTGTCTTTAGACAAATTATCGGAATTTTCTTTGTTAAATCGAACCACTATATGTATATTTCAACTTGTTTACATGTACTTTGCGTAGATTTATTGACATAAAAATATGTTTACAAGTAACAAATTATTGGTTCCTATTAAATGAAACAGTCATAATAATCTGACGAAGACTTTTCTCAAAACTTTCTTGATTTTCTACACGAGAAAACTGCTTTAAAAAAGTTCATTCCGTTTTTCTAAACTAAGAATGCAAGAACATTGAAATCTGAACTTAAGTATTGATAACTGAAGCTTAAAATGAAAATACTTCGAGAAGAAACTTATAATAAATGGCGTTCCATCTTATGCGCACAGATACATACACTATCGCTCAACAATTTGGGGTTTTAAGTAAACATTACACTATAAATGATCTTGCAAATACACATTTTTATAAATGAATTCACAATATTGTCTGTTCAATCGATATTCTACGATTTTGAGACTTTGATTAGGTCGCAAATATCGTATTTGATAGATCGACAGGTTTTGTAATAAATAATATTGTATAATAATTACTACCAAATGTTGGACGGTAGTTTCTATACATACATGCAAAGAAGATTCAATTGTTTCTTTGTTTAATGCGACACATCATTAACACAATAACACTGTTCGGTAAGTTTACATTGCCAAATGTCCCAACATGATTTCACGCATTCGGTGGTACATATGTACATATATATATATTTATATTCACATACACCGAGACATAAAGACACATTCGTACAATACTTCATAAGCACACTAGACGTGATCGTCCTTGATTTGCAATATTTGTGTGGTGATCTAAATTCGCATTTTTTATGGTGAATGTGAAAATTGCGTTGAGATCGGTTTTTCGTATTTTATATTTGTTAGAAGAATAAGTGTATGTGTTCTAATTACAACTTATCGTGTGTGCTCGTTGTGAAACTCTTGTTATTCTTTGTTGTATGATATTATGGAATATTCTCTGTCGACAGCAATACACTGTTGTTTGTGTTTTTCCGCAAATGTTCTTTTTACTTTTCAATACAAGAACAACTTCTTATAATGTTGTTTGTGAAATTATTTTACAAATGCTTCTTGAATGTTGTTTGTAACGTTTCTAAGTTTCTAAAAAAAATGTTTTAATAAAGGAAATTAATTTTCTGAATAATCGTAATTGCTGTTTAAACGTTTAAATTCTTTTTCCAATTTTATGAATAAACAATTCCCACTAACACTTAGAAGTTCGTTTATAAGATCCTTCGTTGTTATCTTTGTTCTATAAAGCATTAGTAAATATTTCAAAACCCAAGAGAAAAATTTTTGAATTTATCTTTCATTTGTGTTTATCAAAGAAAAAAAATTATAAATATAGAAATACGTTGCCTGAAATAATAGATATACGGTTATTTAAATATTAACAAAGTATTTTTATTCTAGAGTTGCTTTTGTAAGAGAACCTATTAATATTAAATATCCTATTTTACTAAAGAAAATGAAGATAATTATAAACATTCTAAAATAAAGTCTAAATGAAAATCTGTCTTTCATCTTTGATAAAATTGATTCATCTCACATTAAACAATTACATTAAATACATATGCAATACATGTTGAGCGGTGTTAACGTGTTTTCAGTTGTGTCATCCTAAATGTGTTAAATGTTGTTATCGTTCAGAATGTTGAATACAAATTACGTATTTACGGAAAAATTATCTGAACGTTTCATCAATATTACAAATACCTTAATCGGAGTATAAGTTACAGATTTTTAATTAGTTCTTTAGCTGTATTCTTTAAATTTTATAAAATTGCATTATTTGTAAATGCACTCATCAACGTTTTTTAATGAACGTAGTTGGAATGCTGTACAGGGGATTCGCCATATTTTAAGGAATTAAAAAATTCAAAACAAACAAAACATTGAACATTATTCATCTTCGAAGCGATTGTAAAATCCGTAAGCAAAAATACTGTGAATATATAAATACTAAAAGAAGATTATTTTCTGCAACTTTTTTGATAACAAACTCTTTCACTTTCGGTATTGTTTTTAAAAGTTCAAAACAGATTTCTTCATCAATATAATTCTTTGCCCTTTATAATCTGTCTACCTTTAATTTCTTAAACCAAATTTCTGACTTCTTACTGTTCTTTTTCTCGGTGATATATTTGAAGTGTCATGCTCTACTTCTCCAGACCGAACTTTCAGTACAAATAAAAATCTTTCTCTATGCTCTGGCGAAACGTTCAGCTAATTTTTCTATAAAGACGTTTAATATGATATTGTTAGAACTTGCTGCGGTTCAAAGTTTCGAAATAATTGCTGTGTGGTCTGCGAAGACCTTGAACTCTCTTTGTTAAATGTTTTCTGTAGACGAAACGTGTTTTATATCTGTAGCTGATCCACACATTTCTGACGCTGATAGGTTGAGTATTTCCCCGAGGAAACAATTATGGATCAAGGCCGTGAAGAAGCTGACTTCCGAGAGGCTGGGCAGGGAAGGACTAGCGGCGTGGGAGGATCGGAAGTCCAGCAACGATCCGGAAGTTCCAGACGACTCAGAATCGGCCGATGGAACCGAGGATCCGGAGACTCCGGGGGACCCGGAGGTGGTTCTTGATGGTCAGCCTGTTGACACCGAAGCTCAGACGCAGCGGGGTACTCTAGATTTACATACATAATCAATGATGTTACGTACACGCGAACTTGGAATTGTATTTCTCAACACCTAACGGGCGGGTGACTTTTTGTCTATATACTTCTTCAGTCTCAGGAATTGTTGAGGAAATGATACAAGCCTGTAGGCATATCTTTAAATCATTGCTGTTTTATTAAATTACTATCACTATTAACACAATTTTGAGAATTTACATTCATGTCTAGTACTTCTAATTACTATGGTGTTTTATAGAAGATTAAGTTAGCCTGAAAATACGTGAATCTACGTGTCCCGTCCGTTAGGTGTTAAGTAGCTACGTGTTTCGTGAAAACCCTATTATTTCGTCCGGCAACGTTTCGTCCTAGACGATGAACAAGAATCTATCGTACAAGGGGGTGTAGAGCTTATATATATAGAAAAAGCTGGTAGTGGGCAGTCGACATACTCCTCAAGGCTACCTACGACAACAACCCCTGACGCACTGTCGACTCGAGTACCCCGGTTACCTGAACATTTGGCAACCAGCTGATCTGAAGTTTAAAGAAATAAAGTGATTAAAGGATTTTACGTTCTCGCATCTTAGCAAATTTTGAGATAATTTATTAATTGTCATATTTCTTTTTCTTTTTATTCCAAAAAATGACGGAAGTAGGTGCTTCTGCGTCAAATATTCACAATTTCTGTTGATATAACTAAGAATGCACCTTTTAAAATTATTACCAATACCATTTCTGGTAAAATCAATTGGACTAATTAAGTAGATTTTCTTCGTTAAGAAAACTGTTGTGTTTCTTTTGCAACAAAATTATCTTTTCGGGGTTGGGGTACGAAGAAGAGAAAGGAAGAGTGAGAATAAGAAAGGATAACTTACAAAGAGAAGGCCAGATATAAAAATCTGTTTTCGGATGAAACCCTATACGTAGTCCATATTTAAAAATGAAAAACCCTTATACCTTTTTTTACAATGGTTCTCCGTTTTCGAAAAAATGAGTTCCAAGTTTGTATGTTTATATCAAGTAGCTTAACAAAAAAACAATAATAATGACATCTCAGAAAGCAAAAATTATTTGTTTATATTAAACGACTCATCTGATTTTGTTTCGCCACTGACCATAAATATCACCGGTTTGTTTCAGACGTTTTCAAGAAAGGAGTCCTCTATAAAGGGATATTTTGTCCATCACTGTCGAACAGCTTCCATAGCAAGCAGCTCGAGACTTCGTACCTCCATTATTCAAACCGTCAACGTCAAAAGTCGCTGATCATGCTCAACATCGTTGATCTGAGCCTAAAGGTATGTCAACGCTTTCTGAACAATCATTTTCTTATTGCACGATACGTATACAGAATGTCTAGACAATTTTATACCGTGCGATTTGTTTGAAGCTTTCACGGCCAGGAATACTATGAGAAGTGTTCAAAGTTTCCGTGTGTAAGCCGTGTCCATTAGGAATTGTGTTCCGATGTTTCGCTAGTACTGCAGCTGGCATCATCAGGGGGTTTAAAGACTCATTGATACTGGTTATCAGTGCTTTCTATTTAACCTTTCAGATACGGTAGGATTTTCTGCAACACTATATCTCTGTGCGGCAAGCTTCAACGCGAACCGCGCGAAATTCTATATAACGCTTCTTACTATGACATTAGAAATATTGATAGGATATGTTAAATATATCTATAGATAGATTGAGCCAATTCAGTGGCATACTGTTTAAAAGGGTGATATCCACGAAAGGCACTATAGCAGCGCACTATGGCACTATATCGTTCACAAAAATTACTTGCGCGAAAGCCATTAAGTGCCGTACCATTCGAAAAGGTAACATATGCGGAAGCCATTATAGTGGCGTACAATAGCTAAAAGGTTAATCATGCCTTGCTACGGATTGGAATACACACAATCAACCGTGACCGAATATCAGATAACCACGGGAAACAAAATCCTGTGTGACAAAAATAAAATAATAGCAAAAACCATAAGATTCTATCATAGAAAATACAAAGGAACGCTGGACATTTTGAAACATTCCAACAATTACAACAGGGACTCTGGTTACCAACTTAGCCCAACTTGGATCACTCTCCTCTCATTTTTTAATTGATCAGTTGACCAATTAAGAACACCGGATTCGTGGCCACCCATCCGTAACTCCTAGCGAAACGTCGGGAAACAGTTCCAAATAGACACGGCTTACACCCGGAAACTTTGAACATATCTCAATTTTATACTGTGTTCCTGCAAATGTGAATACTTTGCAGACGAAAATTTTTGAAATATTGAAGACCCTTTCCGTAAGAAGCTAAATTATATGCGTGACTTTTAAATGCTGTAAAAGAAGAAAATTATAGACTGTTGTTTTGTTATATAATTAATTCAATTACTCGCTTGCGACTTACAGGTTTAGATGTTAAAGCTCAGTATCGCCAATGTGAAGACGTTCGTCCTTGAAGGGTTAATTTCGTTACGTTATTTAACCCAATTGCGTTTTCGTTTTATTAGTATTAGGAAAAATCGGGTAGATATAGTCCACTAACTAATGATAACTCTGAAAACAAAGAGTTGACAGAAAATTTGGTACAATCATCTTAAAGCTCTTCTTGAATTATGTTATTTTAGCTAATAAAATGTCTGATCAAACTGCTAGCAGCAAAATAATCATAGGTGATCATGCTTCATGGTCCACTCTGTATAACAGTTTCAGTTATTTTTGGAACCATTTCAGTCCTTAATTGGTACAGACAATATATTTTCCTGCGATTCGTTTCTTTTCTTTGTTTCACGCGACGCCATCCGCAGATCGTTCTGTTGGCAATATGGCTGTGGCAAAGGGACGAGGACAGCGCCGGTTTGATCGAATCCTTGTCTTGGGCGATCTGTTGCATTGCGGCGAACATGGTAGTCTGCATTCTCGGCTGGTGGCGGTGTTTCTCCAATAATTATTTATACTGGGCTTCCATATTCACTTGGCTACTGATCAATTCGCAAGGTGACGATGCATCAATTGATCCGATCGACCACGAGAGAACGGACGAATTTTTCGGTCCACGGAAAAACGATGAATATTTCATAATTGACCACTATCGCTCCAGCCGATTTTCTAAACTATCAGCAACTTCAAGCCATATTTATAGTGGCGAAAATGGAAAAAATGTTGTATTATAACGTTCCTTAGACTTTTGCTTCCTTCTCAAAATTTGCATGTGTAGTGAATGCTATAATCTTAAAGTAGATTTTTCGACTTTGCTTATTAAAATATTTAATACTGTAGATGGTAGTGCGGATGGCTGTAGTGGATCCTATAGAGTCTAAAAGGTTAAATATTTAATAATTTATAAATATAAAAAGGATAAGTTATTCACTTGTAGAAACGAAGAGATTCTTTGAATTTTCATGGAACACGAAAATAAATAGAAGGCTCTTCACAGAAATTAACAAGTTGCTCAATTTCGCTCGAATATAAAACTGAACCAATTGTTCTTTTCAATTTTTCAATTTTGATAAAGCACACACATCTTTTTATGATAATAAATGAACCAGTTGTTCAATTTCACTGGAGAGTAAAAACGAACAATTGTTTTTCTTTCTTACAGCAGTGGGCAAATCTTTTAACTTTTGCTCAATTTTAAGTAAATAAATGTTCGATACCAATTGAATGTACAATTGGATAACCCTTTTGGTTTTCATGCAAAAGTGAAGAGCGAATAATCTTTCTGATTCTCGTTGAATTCAAAGAATGAAGAAACATTTGAATTCTGATCAAACAATTCAGGACGAACAAACGAATCGTTCATGTGTCAAAGTGACTAACTCCACTTGTGAAATATTTTCAAATACTAGTGCTAAAACAATGATTGGTTCTTTACTTAATCCAAGTTCTTTTTTACTTTTTATTAGAGCAATTAAGCCGCTCGAATTGCACCGTTGTCTATGCCAATGGTAATTTATGGTTTATTTTCTTTAATAAACTATAATTAATAAATTCTATCTATCATTTGAATGTTTCGTTACAATTTACTCTTGATTAGTCATTTTAACTTAATTTTGTTTCAGAGTAAAACGAGAAAGTCTTCTTCAATTTAACACTAGAATTACTGAGCGTTTGGTATGATACATATAGAATCCTTATAAAAATTATAACAATAGATTTTTTTGACATATTCATTGTAATATTGGACTGAAACTATTTATTGTTAAAATCATTTCAGATATTTAACGCTTTTAAAATATCAATAATTGTAAAATAAAAGCACTGAAACCCGCCATTTTCATGGGTGCAATAGGTCTAGTGTCAAACAAGTAAAATATTGGCTAATTTAATCAAATTCAAAGATACTAACAGATAAAAATTCAATATAAATTTTAAGATATCTATGCATAATTGGGAAATAAGAACACCGAAATCCGCCATTTTGACGGGTGCGATAGTTCTAGAGTTAACCACTTATCCTATGATTTATATTTCTCAACCATGATTGATACAAGTAATTTGTCTTTAATCATTTATTAATATTTGTAAATATATATTTATATATCCATTTCCATTCATGAATAAATAATGTAAATATATATTTACAAATATATAATTTATAAATTTCGAATATTTAACGCTTTGAAAATATCAATAATTGTAAGATAAGAATACTGAAAGTGTGGTAGTCCTAGTGTTAAAGGTTAATTACTTTGGCAACTGAATGGCTCGAATATTTCAGTCCCGCTCGACGAATTTTTCGGAAACTGCATCGAAGTCGAGTTCCACGAAACAGAATGTTGTAATTTAGACGAAGATACTCTTTCTCTCCGGGTAGATTGTATCTCCGTTTACCGAATAGAGTTTTGCTCCACTGGCTCGTGCGTTGGCGGTCCAGCGGATTGCTTGAATGTCCACCGGACCGTAGAGAGAGAGAACGCGGTAAAACCAACTTATATTGTGCCAGGCATGGGTTACTATCGATTGGTGATCCCATTGCCGCTATTTAATACGAACTGACCTGTCGGGGTCCACGGGAAAAATTGTTCGTCCCGCCATTCTCGTCCTTCAGTTCTCTCATACACGCGCAGTAGGTTCACAAAGGTACAGAACTGTATGTAATGCACAAGAGTGAGTGACACCGTTGTTGTTGGATCGTAACAAAAATACGTTTAAATATAAAAGTTGAATATTTTCTCATATTGTTGGCTTCATGTAGCAGTGTAATAACGATGCTGCTTTTAAATTCATCTGAAGTGCCTTCTGATTTATTATAATTATTCTAATTTTTTAATTTATATACGTTTATAAATACAAAAAATGTTAAATATAAAAATTGAACATTTTCTTGTGCTGTTGGCTTCAGGTAGCAGTAAAATAACGATGCTGTTTTCAAATTGACCAGGGATGTCTTATGATTCATCGTAGTTACTCTAATTTTGATAATTGAAAATATTCATACATAGTTGACGTTTTAGAAAATCCTTCGATTTGACGACGATTGATGGAAATAAATTATGCATGTATAGGTATTACACAATAACATAAATAAATTTACAACTGTAAACTAATAAAATTGTAAATATGAACATATTCTAACATTGATAATTCAATAACTCATTGAAAATACTCATATGTTCATATTTGTAGCCTTATTAGTTTATAATTGTAAACTTATTTATGTTATTTTTTAGTATTTGTGCATACTTTATTTTTATAAGTTGTCGTAATATCGAACTGTTTTTTAAAATGTAAATTAACACATGAAATATAGGAAACATATACAATTAACAGTTTTAAACGAATATGCATTAGGAATCACAGAAATTATTCATATTATTTAAGAAACTCATACGCGACTTTATTAATCCTTTACGGACAAAGATTTATTAAAAATCTATTAAAGATTTATTTAAAATCTTCAACAAAGGAAGCTATATATTGATTGTTACATATCGAATTTGTGAACCCCAGACAAAAAGTTAAGTACGTTGTAATCTCCTATTATTGAATAATTAAATGATTAAATAATTTATGATATATAGATGATTTGAATTAAATGACAATTAAATGAATTAAATTGTTCATATGCAATTCTGTATTCCAGTAACGAAAGTTTGACGTCATCAAAACGACGACAACAGTCCTCAAAGGATTAATTCTTAACTACTTAACATTAATATTAGTTTCAAAGACCAAAGAAAAATATTTAGTAATATGCCTTGAAGGAATGAACGAACAAGTCTGATTAGAATAAATATCGTTGATTTGTTTTTCTGATAAGGAAGACACATTCAGATAAATCATAAATAAAACTTTTTCCACTTTTTTAACCCCTCGTCTTATGATTTCTTTCGCAACTGTGCTTAATGAAACTACTTCATCGTTAATAACTTATTAGCAAAAGAAAAGAATTTGATACTTATTCTATGCCTACGTTTGTTCTAAAGGTTAACGATTAACAATAGAGAAGTAATCAATTTATACTCAGAAAAAGTAAATACAATTTAGATTCATTATATTTAGTTTAACACTAAAACTATCGAGCAGTTAAATTGACTTTTTGAAATTCCTCTATAGAAACTCCAAGAGTGTATCTACTAAGACTTTAATTGATTTGCAATTCAGTTTTCGTATTACTAAATTAATTTCTTTAGTAAATTTTCAGGAAAACATCGGTTATATTTTTAATAATAGCTAGAAAAAGATATCAGGAATGGGCTATTTTGATCCGTTTCGTGGTTTTTAGTGTTAAAATTCTCGTTACGTGCTTGACACGATATTATGGGACAAGGGGTTAAACAATGCTTTTGTGGCATGTTGATCTCATAGACCAACAACGGTTGTAGCCCAAGCTTTTTTCATTTCGATAGTAAATCGTTAAGATTGATGAGTATAAAAAATTTTGGAAAATTATTGAACCTACTGCGCTAAAGCAGTTAACGCTACAGCAGTGGTTTCCAAACTTCAGATTATTACTGCTTTTTAAAAAAGATCTAATCTTAGCGCTTCCCCCTTTATTTCATAGAATAACACAGACATAATTTTAATGATAAAAAACGTATTAACCTTTTAACTATGGAATTCAACTTGAAAAATCTCTCAACAAAACAAAGAAGAATTACATGTCTATTTGAAAAACTAAATAATTCATCGTCGAAAGAATTAGTATCATTTCAGGCTTTAAGATCACGTGTATACTCGTCATCTTAAAATTCGAAATAATACTAATTTTTGTTAAGAATGAATTAGCTCTTCTTGCAGATACACCTGTAATTCTTCTTCCGTTTGCTTTAGTTCTTTGTTAAAATATATTATAGGTGCATTCGTCCTGCGTTTGACGAATATACACTTTTTAATTAGATTTTATTGTGTGCACAATGAGAGATTTTTGAAACTAAATTTTACAGGTTAATCTTTTGCACTCAATTATTTTCAATATTGTTGGGTGTAAACTTGTATTTATTTTAGGGAAATGAATGAAAGTAATTTACAGTGGTAGAATTGAATACTTTATATTTATTTTATTAATTATCATTATAATAATTGCCATTTTCTGCGTAACATACGAGTGTAAAGGGTTAATACAAAAAATGAAAAAACATGTAACCAACACAATAATATCTTTCCGAGTCTTTTTTGCACTGGTCTGCGGCTGGCAGTTTGGAAATCGCTGCGCTAAAGGAACCCGTTGATGAAGAGCGATGTCCGCTATTGTTCCGGCGGACAGTTACGTTAATCTGATATAAATTGCAGGTTTTATAGGGGCCGGTCTAGATTTTCCTAGTCAGCAGCGTCTAATGTGGTATATTTTGTTTGTCGTGTATGCACCGTACGCCATGTTGCCGCTACCGTTGAGGTGGTGCGTCCTAGCTGGTTACGGGACAGCTTTAACCCACATGGTTCTGGCGGGAGTAACTTTATTACGAGATCCCACACACGTAAGGATCCTTGGTCTACGTTCTGCTTCGCGATTGCTTCCTTCTCCTGATAAAGGACCGTGTCCGAACGTTTTTAGACATTTTTTTAAACTCTGAACGAAATGTAGAAATCTTTGCGTATTCGTAATAAATATAGGTTGCTTACAATTAGTTTCAAAATTGTATTGTTAAGCAAAGAATAGTTCTAAAGATAAAATATTAACACAAGTAACATATAGATAGTTATTGTTTCAAAATCTTTCAAGCATAATGAGTAGACTGTTTCATGTTTTTGTGGTGTACTTGATCCTACGAAATACAAAACGTATCATTTCATATTTCTATATGAATTATTATTTTAAAATAATAGCATTGAAAAAGTGTTAATAACAATATTGATTATTCCATATATATTGCCATAAAGAATAATTCTGAAAATGAACGAAAACCAAACAAAGTTCACACGAAACTCTGTCAACTAATTTATTATAAATCTATTCTTTTATATTATATAAATTTATTATAAATTTATTTTTCGAACGTTTATTTTCAATGAATACCTTTACACGTCGACTCTTCCATTTTTCTTAGAATTTCCACTTCAACTTACTTATACTGTGCACAAATCGCCGTCGATCCTCGTCAGATTGAAAAATGTCATCGACAGTCCGGACATCGTCCTTCATGAACACGAATCCTGTGTCGATCTTCCTTTTCTTTGCGCCCTTCGAAAACTCCGTACGCTCTCCCCTATTTGCAGTTTCTTCGTCCGTTTGTTTTTCTTTTAAATACACGCCGTTTTGCTATTGCAGCTGCACGATGTCGCGTGCATAGTTCGAATGCTAACGACCAACGTGCTTCTTTATCTTGCAATGAATCTAGCTGGCATGTACACTAAGTATTTGACAGACAGAGGACAGAGGCAGGCGTTCCTGGAGACGCATCGATCACTTGAGACCAGGCAGAGGACACAGAATGAGAACAATCGACAGGAGAAGTTGCTGCTCTCCGGTGAGACACGATCCGCGCGACTCTTTTTTCAACCCTTTAACCAGTTAACTGTAGTATTTAGTTTAAAAAATCTGTCATTGTGCATCCAATAAAATCAAATAATAAATTGTATAATCGTCAAACGCAGAGCAAATGCATCTATAATATATTCTAACGGTAAACTGAAGCAAAACAAGGAATTACACATTCATCTGAAAAAATGAATAATTTATCACTGAAAGAATTAGTACCATTTTGCGTTTCAAGATAACGTGTATACTCGTCAAACGCAGTTAACTGGTTGAGGGAGGACACCACCTAGAGATGTTCTAAATATATAGCTAAACTTTAGGAATTTTTTGTTAATAACTATTAATTATATTTATATATTTTCTAAACCAAAATGTTACAAAATGGCAAAGTTATTCGCTAACTTTGAAACCCCTTTTCGTGGAACATCCATTGTTGGCCAACTCGATTGTAAACTGAAATTATAAACAGTGAATTCATAAACAGAAATATAGTATCTAAAATGTAGCATACAGATTTTTCGATATCTCAATTATTTTATTTTCTATAAACATTTGAAGCTAATTTTTTCGTGTGAAAACAGGTTTTTGCATTTCAAATACTTGCCAGTTCCATAACAGTTAAAATTTCGAAAATCCTGTTCATAAATCCACAAAAATGTTTGTCTTCGGATATTTCAGCCAACAACGGATGTATTATGTAAAACAAATCTAGCGAATAACTTCTTTATTTTCATTCTAACATTTTAGCTCAGAAAAAAATATAAATATGGAACAAAAGTTTACAGTTATACACCCAGAAAAAAATCAGAAGTTCTCACTTAATAGTTATTAACAAGAAAATTGCTAAAGTTTACCTATATTTCGGACTCTATATCAATAATAAAGATACACGGGATATCTCGTCCATAGCATCCTAAGTACAACATCATGGTGATGAGATATCTCGTCCATAGTGTCGTTTTTTCAACATTGTGGAACCGACATACCTCGTCCATAGCAGCGAAAGGGTTAATTAGAAAACCGAAGGCATTTGGTGTCCTATTGAAGTTCATTATTCCGCGGTTCCTGCGGCGCATCGTGTGTCGCTACCATAAATACACCCGTTGCGCGTAATTACGTATCGTGACGATTATATATTTACAGAGACGCCGAGCGCGATCTATAAAGACGCACGGGGGTCGCGTCGCAAGCGAGTAGCAAGCGGGGCTCGTCGGCGCGTGTAACTTGCTCAGCCGAGTGTCAAAAAGGGTCACTAGACACTTTCACTCGATTGCGCCAGATATACCGTTTACCGATAGCCCCGACAGAGCTTCGCTTTTATAATACTATCGATTTCTCTTGGCGATGATTCGTTTAGGGAGAACATGCAAAATACGATGGGACGAAAGCGGAGAGGCGCGTCCTCGACGTCTTCCGCTGCGATTTGCTTTCCGACATCTTTCTTTTCGAACATAATCTATCGATTGAGTTAACGTTAGATCACGTTGGAATTCCTTTGCTTCCTTTTCTGAAGGATATACAGTGCAGTCATTATGCCTTGAAGAACGCCAGCCAAGCTAATCGTGCAGATTTCGTAGTTACAGCAATGCCGATGCCTCGATTTCGACTCATTCTTGTTATTAGTTGAGTAAACGAAGAGCACAAATGAAACAAAATATGAAACAAAGTGAGATATAAATAAGAAATCGATGAAAAATTTATTTTGCAAACTTATAGACGTCAAAGAACTATGTATTTTTTGTTTAAACCTCTTTTCCACAGGAAAGAAAAACTTGCATTTTTTTCAAGGGGTGGTTTTCACCCCTTCAAAGTGAAATTCGACACTAAAAAAATTGTCCCGTATACATGTTATAATATTAGGTCGTCCGATAAGTTCGTGCCGTTTGTTTTTGTACCATATATATAAAATAATATTTTATTAAATATAAAATTCTTATACCTTCACAATCTGTCACTTCCGAATACCTTTTAGAGCCTTTTTACTGAATAACCAAAAATTGCATTGTATTAGGCTTGACTTATTCTACTTGCGTACAAAGTTTCATAACTTTTTAAATTTCCGGGTTCGATAACTTCTCTTGTCAGCCAGTGATAGAACTGAGTGAAGCGTCTGCATTGTCGCAACTATGGAACCGATTTTTCTTATCGATCAGAACCAATCTTGCCGATCGGAACCGATGTCTTCTCCTTGCACTTCTGCACTTTTAGCTTGGAGGACGTTCCTCAAGACGTAAGGGGTGCACTATATTTGGTTGAATGTTGAATAAAACTAATGGGAAGGTTGGGTGCTGGAACTAGGCAGCTACATTTTTTGTCAATTTTGGGATTTTATTATATGTTTCAGAAAAAGTTAGCTCACAAAGATAGGAAGAATTCAGTCTTCAATTATTTTCTTTCGTGTTATAGTTGAAATGAAACTATTTATGTATAGTGTTAATTTTGATGAAGGCATAGTGTTATTTGTCATACGCTATGTACTTTCTCCTAGAGACAAAAAAATGAATGTTTTTGAATTCCAATTGAATATTACTCTTCCCTTATTGATCGCCGTACTTTAGAATAAATATAATTATATAACGAGCATGGAATTTTTTCCTGCTTGGTAATTATCAATGAGAAAGTAACTCTATTGATTGCAATTGTAAAAGAATTCTTGAAGCAAGGGGTTAATTCTTAGCGAACGAGGATTTTTCAAAGTATTCAAGATCTTTCTCATGATAAAAGGAATTATCTTAATTATACATCGAAATTTTAAATATTAAGAAAAAAGCAAACTTATATGTACTGATGTTGTCTTGATTAAATAATCAAATTACTTGCTTGCAATTTTCGATTCTAGATACGAAAGTTTGATCGTCCTTAAAGAGTTAGTAGTGACCCAATGCCCAATATGGGACGTAATGAACCGTGATATACCACCCTTAGCAAAAAGTGTTATAATTTGCATACGGTTTACTTAGTTAAATATTTTTTGTTAGGTGCAATATTGCCTTATATAGGCTTTACAAAGGCTTATTATTGGATTTTCTCTTGTTATTTAGTGAAAACGCTTCTGGAAGGGGTGAAAACATACAAACACACACACACACATGTACACACACACACATATATGCACGTTACATTATGTCAAAATGACCTAGCTTCGGTAAACGAGGGTTAAAGTTGGCGTTTTATCGGTTCTTCGGGATTTTCGTAAGCAATAAATTGGATGAAGAGTTGTAGTGTTACTTTTAACAAACAATAATCTTTTTATATTAAAAATATGTCATTTAATATTTGAGACTTTTTTAGGAACTAAATTTGTATTGTGAAAATTTGTTGTTAACCAAATTCGACCGAGAAAGTACTATTCTTAAGAATGTTATCTATTAGATGATTGAACAATATTTATTGTTATTTCATCCTCAGAAAAATTATTTTTTAAAGCTGTAAAAAATCTAATAATTATATATCAAATATATAAAATTAAACAATATATATATATTTATATTTATAAATATATAAAATTATATAAAATATATAAAATATTAATTAAGTAAATATATATAAAACGTACAAAATATTAATTATATACATCTATAAAATAAGTAAATCTCGTATTTAATGTTCACTGTGTCAAATATCAGTGTGAATACTGAATTTGATAAATATTTGTTATAGTTCTGCCAGATTTCGTGGCAAAAGAAATGATTCGTGATATCGCTCGCGAAACAGCTAGAGGCGGAACCATCTCCTTCACACCGAATCAGTTTCACAGAATATACATTCATCGTTACGAAAACGTTAGCATACTCTTCGCTGATATCAAAGGATTCACTGGTACGTAATTAAACATCCGATTTTTTGTAACTAAAGATATGGTTATTTCCTCAATTTTGAACTACTCGTCGATTGCGAAACATCTTTCAATCGAAGTGTATGTAAGTACTCGATAAAGGGTTGCAATTATCTTTTGAATAAAAGAAAATACTTTAATTAGTTAGAATAGATAGACTCTAGTTTTTGTAGAATTAAATAGCGCACCCTTATTTTTTATTCTTTTATAGCTATTAGTTTTTAGTTATTATAATTATGCCAGGAGCATGAAATTTTAACGTTTTATCTGCCATTGTTCATTTGATAGAACGATTGTTTGGGCAGATTTATAGTTAAGAATCTTTCGATTTACTTTAGATAAAAACAGCAATTAGAATGGCCAAGGACAAATCATCTCGAGTAACATAATGTAATAGAAAACTAAATAGGAAGCTAAACAAAAAATGTGATATCAATTTAAATCATTTGTAGTGTATAAATAAATATATAAGAAAATTTAATATCAAATTACATTATTTTATATAAGTTATTTAAAGAAAAGTGATTAAAAAAATAGAGTTTAATACAGCACAAACATTACGAAGTCTATTAATAGGCTTCCGGTAGATAAAATGTTAAGCAGCGTAGAATACATCAATAAGTTATTTGCATTCATTAGAATTTCATGAAAAAAAAATATTTCTTAACATTAATATTAAAGAAATCAGAAAGAAATCCACTATTTTGAGTCTGATCAGAAAGCTTCAATAGTTCATATAAATTCTTAAATACTAAATCAAAATGTAATTCCCTTTTAGTGATCCATTTTTCAAATTCACTGTTTGAATCAATATTAAAAAGTTGATATGAAATAATAAAGTTTTCTCTTGAGAACTAGTACATTTACAAACACAAAACTGATACATAATAAAAATAATATTACATTTCTTTCTGGTCTCTTTAATATATTCCATGGTAAATTGGTTTCAACGATCATTGAATGCAGCATTGGCTAGCCACTGCAGCCCTCAAGAGCTCGTCAAGGTGTTGAACGATTTGTTCGCCCGTTTCGACAAACTCTCCGCGGAGAATCATTGCCTCCGTATAAAATTGCTCGGTGACTGTTATTATTGCGTTTCCGGGCTGCCAACTGCCAGAAGCGATCATGCTCATTGCTGCGTCGAAATGGGTCTGCACATGATTAAAGCGATAAGAGACGTCCGATATACGACAAAGGTAATCTAATTATTAGTAATGGTAATTCTACAGAAAAATATGTGTCCATGTTAAATGTATGATCGTAAAAAAAATTATAGAACATATTACAATAAATTATGATTATATATGACAAAGAAGCTAATCGAATTATTAATAATAATAATAAAAAATAACAATAATGATAATTTTATGTAAATATGTTAAACGTATGCTCATGAAAAACTGACATGATAAATTACAGTAAATTATGATGATACAGCACAAAAGCTTAAGAGAATTAATTACTAGAATTATTATCAGTAATAATAATTTCAGAGGAAAGTTTATACCTATGTTAAATACATGGTCGTAGAAAAAATTACATAATGAATTACAATAAATTATGATGAAGTTATAGTCAACTGTAATTAGTAATTTAAAAGTTCGGAGCATTCAGCTTTTCACGCGAATAAAAATGTTGCATGTTTTGAGAAGTATTATTTCTTTTATTAATATTATTATTATTTGTAATATATATATTCTTTAAATATATAACTTAGGAATACTGGATTTATAGAACAAAAATTATTGTTTTGTAGGGATGAAGTTCAGTAGCCAGTTAACTGTGGAATTTACTTTTAAAAAATATATGGTTAGAGCAAATGCACTTAATATATATTAAAATAAAAATCTGAAGCAAAATGAAAAAGTTCATTTGTAAAACTAAATAATTGATTATTAAAATAAATAGTATTATTTTGGGGTTTAAGATGACTTGTAAGATAACGATGTACTCTTCGAACATAGTTAACTGGTTAAAAATTTAAAAACATCTCAAACTTGTGAACGTTGATATGTAGTAAGTACTGACTAACAGGAAATAATTTCAGAGAAACTAATGTGTGTGTAGGTTGATCTGAACATGAGAATAGGAATTCACAGTGGTTCCGTTCTGTGTGGAGTGTTAGGGCTTCGAAAATGGCAGTTCGATGTTTGGTCTTATGACGTGACTCTGGCGAATCATCTTGAAAGCGGAGGAATTCCCGGGTAATATTTCTTTATAAACATAGCTTGCCTTCATTCTGTATATTTTACTATGTTTACAATTGTATTTTTATTTTTTTTTACTTTTAACCTCGTTCCATATAATATCGTGGCAGACTCGTGAGAAAGCTTTCAAACAGAAATGAACAGAAATATGTGTCACTCAATTATTTTGTTCTCGAATGAAATATTATTTTCTTGTTATCAATTATTATGTTTTAAAATACAAAAATTAATTAATACCTCTTAAAATTATTAATAAATAAATCAATTATGACTTTTTAAAATTTAAATGTAGTTTAACTCCTTGTGGTCGTATTAATTTTACTTACAAATGAAGTTAACCATATGCTTTTAAATTTCGGACAAATTTAATAGAATAGTAGATCTTTATTTTACATAAAATATTTGAATAATAAATAGTTTAATTCCTTAACCTCTATTTATAATTTATAATGTTATATTTTAATTATTTTCATTTTATATGATCAGAATTGTGGACGTGTTCTGTCAGGGTAGTTCGATTTACGGCCGCAAAGGGATTAACACTAGATTTACTGACATTTATTGTGAAGTTTATTCTATGGTCCTTAGAAAAATTGATATTTGTTCATTTGGCTTTTAGAAATTAGAGAGTTAACATTAAAACTACCGAGCAGTTAAACTAACTTTTTGGAATTTCTCTATAGAAACTCCAAGAGTGCATCTGTTGAGACTTTAATTGATTTAATTGATTTAATTTCCTTCAGAATTTCTCAGAGGAACATTTATAATCTTTTTAAGAGTTACAAAAAGAAGACATCAGGAATGGGTCATCTTGGTCCATCTGGTAGTTTTTGTGTTAAAAGTAGACAATTATGATACATATTTACGTAACTGCATCAATCAAAATCGACTTAACGATTTATCGAAAAATGTTTATAAAATTCAAGGTGAATCAATTTGATTCATGAGTAAATCTAGTGTTAACATGTTGATTGTTAACCACAATTCTTACGTTACACTGTTACCTAGTTATTTACGCTATTGAACATTTTAATTCGGTGTCAGATCTCTTATGAATTATAATTGTTTTCAAGTCATTTAGAAGTTCCGGTCCCACTGTGTTAATAAATTGTTGTGTTCCAGGAGGGTGCACATCTCGGAAGACACTCTCAATTGTTTAAACGACGTTTACGAGGTGGAACCAGGAAACGGGACGGAAAGGGACAATTATTTGAAAGAAAGGAACGTGGTAACGTATTTGATCAAGCAGGTGGAGCCATTAAGGTCTAGAAGGAGGTATTCTTCGCGACCTAAGATATGGTCCGAAGAAGATGGCGGTAAGAGTAAAAAGAGTTTCAAATTAAACAATCCACTGGCTGCGAACAGCAGCGCGCCGAATTCTTCGACGGAAGACGACATTGGAGTCGATTGGACACCGGAAATCCCATTCGAAAATGTGCGTATACGTGATCCATTGTACAAAGATCCGGATTCGTGTCATTACCGCCATATTGTCTTTCGTTTACTTTAGAATTTAATGAATATTAACCCTTTGCACTTGAAAGGTGACTTTCATAAAGGCAGATACTGTGGTAGCAGTGGTGTTGCTACGACACCTTGTGCAAGCGAATTTACTATGTAATTTAAATAATTCGTGAGGTTAAATATTCGACATTCAATAAATAATTATTTAACTCCGTCTTTAAAGAAAATTTTGTATTTTCGTCGGTAAAATTATTAAATTTTCAAACGAAAATATTGTAGTTCCGTTGTCAACATTGTTAAATATAACTACGGCTTCTTCTAATAGTCTTATTACAGTAACATACAAACATGGAACTCAGTTCTTCCGAAAATGGAGGGCCATTGTCAGAAAAGTCACGGGAGTTTTTGATTTGTAGATATGTACTGCAACATGTATAGGGTTTCATTCAAAAACAGATTTTTATGTAAGAACAGATTGTTAGTCACCACTTGATTTGATGTAGGATCTAAAGTATTATATGCAATATCAAGCTTTGTTTAATGCATTAATGTGTGAAATATTGAAATATAATAGATTCACTGTCGAAAGCAAAGGGTTAAATTAACTTAGCCAATAAAATAGGAGATTTCCCAGTTTTCTCTTAGCACCGCATTGTCATTTAGTTTGTTTATTTTTGTCTTTTGCTATTTGGTAAGTTTTGAACTGGGGATATTTACAATTCAATAAATACCTGTCTTGATCTTGTAAAACAATTTTTAATCAAATCTGTTGAATGAGTTTAATCAAAGTTAATGAAAAAGGTTATAACTTTTTTTTAGCTTGCGTAAATGTTAAAACGACTAAAAAAATAGTTATATTATTCGTAATTTATAATTTATGATTACTCAGTGATTGGTTGCTTTAATTTACTTATTCCTTTTCATTATTAACAAAATGGTAGGGGAAATATGCCTATAATAATCGATATAGAAAGTTAAGATGAATGCGTGTTGCACTATTTGAAAGAGTGGAAGAAATGAAGGGCGTTATCTTTAATTTATTTGAACTTAAAACTATTTAAACTCATTATAGGAATTTCTTTAATATCTTTTTATAATTTCAATAATTCAACTGCTATTTTCATCGACATTCGTTTTAAAGCAGGTTCCCTTTTTGAAATGTGCAATACACTGTTTTAAGATACAGTTTTTGATTCAGTGACACAAGTTCGGAGCATTTTACATGTGCAAGGAAATGATTATTGTATCACTCGAATAGATTATATGAAAGTATAAAAATCATTATCAAAGTATGATGTTATTAAACTAAACTTTATTCAACTTTATGGAATAAAAAATAAGATTGTATGAAAATAATTCATTTGATAATTTAAACAAATTAGTTATAAACTTAGATACATAGTAGAAATGTGGAACATGATAACTAAACAAGTATATTTACCTAAATACATTCAACGACAACCAATTTATAAATCACGTAGATTTTAAGAATACATACCATTTACCATTTCGTATGAATCTTCAGTCCAATTGTAAGTGACTATGTCATTGATACAATAAACATTTCTAATATAATAAGTGATATTAACTCCTTTAGACTATTTTCTATATCACAATTTACATATACACGGCTTTTGCTGCCTGGAAGAAATTAACAAGTTTCAATTACCCAACATCTTAAATCCAAACAATTCCAAACAACTTAGGAACTCCTTTCATACTATCAGTCTCATTGTGTATAAATTTAAATTCCAACCGTGAAATAAAATATTTGCCATTGAATTAACTTAACCCCTTGCCCAAGATTTACTTCCCAACTATGATCGATGCAACCACTAATAATTTATTGAGAAAAGAGTTAATAATTTGTTGAGAAAAGAGACAAATTCTAAGCACAATCTACGTCTATGTTTACTGCAAAGTATAATTATTGATAACAGAAGAATAATATTTAATTCGAATTCAAAAGAATTCAGTAATATTTATCTTTGCTAAATTCCCCTTCAAATCTGCACCACGAGTCTGACACGTGTTATAAGGCAAGGGGTTGCGTTTTGGTTCGAAGGGGTTACAGAAAGCTTTCAAAGGTTTATATTACGTAAACATTGTTCACGCAGTTGAATACCGCTACATCAGTGAGCAATTTGGAATCGGAATACCTCGAGGAAGAAAATGGATCTGGAAAAGGTAAAGGCATGAGCCCGGCTGACAAGTTGAAGGCGGCTGGTCTCGAAACCGCGAGCAACAAGCGTATGAGATCAGCGAATATAAACGCCTGGACTTTGCGTTACAATGATGAAAGCCTAGAATCAAAGGTACAGAGTCGGAATAGAAAAATTAAATTTCTATCCGTCGATGTGACAACACAGACATTTTTCTGTTTTCTCGTAGTTCGGCCAGTTGCGCGAGGATATGTTTAAATCAAACATGATCTGTTGCTTCGTTGTGTGGATATTCATCGCGATCTGCCAGGCCGTTATTTTACCTGAGTAAGCGAGTTTACTAATTTAAATAATTCATGAAATCAAATATTCGAAATTAAATGAATAATTATTTAACTCTGTCTTTAAACAAAATTTTCTATTTTCGTCGTCAGAATTGTTAAACTTTCAAACAAGAATAGCGTATTTTCATTGTGAAAATTGTTGAATATTTAAACAAGAATTTTATATTTTCGTTGTTAAAACTGTTAAATTTTCAAGCAAAAATTTCGTATTCCCATTGTTCAAATTGTTAAAATAAACAAAAATTTGTCATTTCTATCGAAAACTTCCAATACTAATGTAAATTCATTTTCTGTATGTAAACACAATAATCAAATTCGCGTCGAATCTCAAAAAAATATCAAAATGAATCTTTTAACACTTCAATAATTTTATCCATTTGTTAAAATCTCCTTTGAAGTTTTCACGATCAACGCTCATCGAATTTTCTCTTTCCAGCTGTACAGTCCTCCTATTATCTTTACTGTTAACAACGTTGATCCTAGTCGCGTCGTCCATCTTAGTGATGGCGGAGGAGTTCAAGAGCCTTCCGACGTATTTGCAGCACGCCTCGTCGATGTTGGTCCACAACAAACGACACCGGACCCTCTTTATCTGCGTCGTGATCAGCCTGATGGCCCTGACATCGATCGTCGGCGTTCTCGCGTGTCCTACGTCGATCCGACGATATCCGGAGGCTCTTGTCCTCGAGCAACAGCAATTGATCCCACCGACCTTGAAGCCGGAACGTTTAGTGGCACCCACCGTCGGTCTTGATCAGTTTATATTGACGTTTTTAGAGGCAGCCCTTCGGGACGAGCCTTCCGAAGAACAGGGACACGTCTCTGTGGAGAATCGAACGAACCTTCATAGCTCTAACGACATTGAGACGGAATTGACGGGGATCGATGGCAGGACTGGACTGCCGAAGGGTCGGAGGGGGAAAGAATTCTTCAGGTTTTATTAAATGATCTTACAGAAATATTATTCTTTGCGTTTTTCGTATTAAACAAGTGTCTTTTGTCTTGATTCGTATAAGATAATTTCAATGCTTCTTTTTTAGTGCATTTTGTCTTTTATCATATAAAATAACTTCAAAGTTATCTTTCTTAGCGCCATTCGTCTTTTGTCATACAAAGTAACTTCAATGTTACTTTTTTAATGACTTTTGTCTTTTTCTGTATAATGTAACTCCAAATTAAGTGCGTACGGTCCAAAAATGGTTTTTATTTCCCATTTTTATGGTTAAATGATAGGGTTGTCTTTAAATCCGGCATAAATGATCTAGTTAACAGATGGATGAAGATTGTAAGAAACAATATATCATTAATTAATTTTCCTTCTAAGATTAAACATATAAAATTGAATTTTCGTTGAAAAAACGACGAAACCTTTTTGCCAATCTAATATTTTACATTTAGGTTTGGTAGCGAAGAAGTCGCTTCGAGGAAGATATTGTCAGCGCCGGATGCCCAGGCGGAAGCGTTGTACTCCTCGGATTACGACGATGACGTTTTAGAAACAACCTGTGTACGACCAGAATACATTGTTTTCACTTGGATTTTATGTTTGATCGCGCTCGCCTCAGCTTTGAAATTGTATTATTTGGTGAAAACGGCACTGGCCACCATTATCGTATCGGTCTACGCAGTACTAATTCTAGTGGTCTGCAAGGACTTCTTTTCGATCCCCGATGAGGAGAAGAATCTGTGAGTACTTAATATTAGGTTTATGGACGTTTATTGTACGATTCTTTCTATTCATACTAGAATAATTCATTTTCGTTCATTCAGATCTTGGAAATTTGGAATTTCAAGATACATTATTAGGATACATATTTGCGTAATTGCATTTATCAACGACGTAAATGTTTATCAAATAATCTTGGAAAAATTCAACATGAGTCAAATTGACGCGTTCTATACTCCTAGTGTTAATGAAACTATATGTTAGAATGCATATATTATTATATAATAATTTATTATATATAGATCCGCAGGATAGGACAGACTTCCGGTTTACTATCTGTTTATATTTATTTAACTTGCTTATGTACACTTATCTATACTTTTATCATTTTTGCACCTCCTCTGATCACTCCCTCCTCTTTTGCTTCTTTTCTTTCTTTGATTTTGTTCTTCATAGAATAATAATAATACCAGAAGTAGCAATAAAGTATTTAACACTAGATTTAAATGACTCATCAATTTGATATTAATTTTCATAGCCATTATTTGGTAAAGGTTTATAATAATGAAAAAAGAATAATGAACATTTATTTTTGGGGGGAATAATACAATAAAGAATACACGAAATGTTCGTAAATATAGTGTTAATATTCGAGCAATGTAATCTTGCTATAAAAGTTTTCAATATAAATTCAAAACAATTGATTATTAAATGAAATGTTACAATTATTAGAACGTTAAAAATTAATAATTAAAGAATAACTAAGTTTCAGTATAACTAAAATTTCAGAATATCAAGAAAAGATTACCTTTTATTTAATTCTTATCTATTAGTAATCTTCGAATTCGATTAAATCAGCCAAGTTTTTCATTGTTTAATATTGGAACTACCACTACTACTTATCTCCCAATTATTGATATCTCAAACGTGTTAGATATCCTAATCATCCTAATCTAAATATCATAATCAAAATGTGAAAAAATAGAAGAAAATCTATTGTCACAATGTTTACAAGGATCTCACAATAATCGTATTAACACGTTGTATGTCGTACGATTTCATGTAGTAAAATGCACAAAATGTAAATATAGTATCAAATTATTCCATTGAATCGTTTTATTATGGCACGTTTATCCTACCAGATATCACTGCCTTAGCATTATTTATAATATAAAAATGCTTGCAAATTATCATCATTTAATTGATTAAATTATAGTAATTTGATTTGGTTGGAGGTCACCGGTGACTTCCATGGCATTCAACGTGTTAAACGCTCAATAGTTCTAGTGTTAAAAGGCACACAGGTCATTTAGAATTTTGTTAACGAGCAAATTCCGTATACATGGAATTTTCAGAACGTCCATACCACTGTCGGCGCAAATGTTGACGTTCATGTGCGTGTTTCTTGTGATGGTCACGTATCACGGTAGATTAGTGGAAGTGACGTCCCGACTGGATTTCCTCTGGAAGCAACAGGCTGAAAGAGAGCTTAGCGACATGATCGAATCACGGCATAATAATATGCAACTGCTGAAGAACATTTTGCCGGATCACGTGGCTCATCATTTCCTGACGCAAGAACGGGCACCCGAGGTACATTATATTAAGACACGCGTCAATACTTATAACTGATCCCTTTTATTATTATATATTTTTCGCCTATTTTAATATGTTAACCCCTCGCACTCGATTTATTTTCAATGTTGTTGGTTGTAAATTTGTATTTATTTTTAGGGAAGTGAGTGAAAGTTATTTACAACGGTACAATTCAACGTTTTATATTCATTTTATTTATTCTTCTTCTTCTTATTATTATTATTAATATAAGATTTAATTGTTATAATCTTTGAAAGTGTAGTACTTTTTAAAACAATTTCCAACGTGACGTACGTGTTTTTCATTTCTTATGAATTAAAATTCCTTTTTCTATTCGTGGTTGAATATATTTTTATTCGAAGTACACTTATGTTTATAAGGAATTAGAATAATTTCTAGATTCTAATAATTAACTGTAGGATGTTGCATTACATGTCCTTGTATGAATTATACGATTTTCAAACCTTTCGTTAGTATTGTAATGGAATAATTTGTTTAAGAATTTTAAATATATATATCATAATCATTGACAGTTTATTTTCTCGAATAATCCACAGGAACTTTACTCTCAATCTCGAGACAAAGTTGGAGTGATGTTCGCCAGTGTACCAAATTTCACAGAATTCTACTCGGAAGACGTGAACAAAGGGATGGAGTGTATACGATTGTTAAACGAAATTATAGGTAAAGAAATTATTGTAGTACATCTTTTGCATTTCGAATAATAATACCAATAAAAGGAATAATATATATTATGATAAAAAATAAAAACAATGATAAATACAGAAGTAATCATAATAACAAGATAAAAAGAAAATAAAATACAAATAATAATAAAAGATATAAACTTTACAATAAGTTGAACAATGATTACAACGCAATTATATTAATAAGTATTGTAACTTAACAATTATATTATTTATTTTTATATAAATTCGCTTGTCAATTTCCAGCCGATTTTGATGAACTGCTTGACGAGAATCGGTTCCATTGTATCGAGAAGATCAAGACGGTCGGAGCGACTTATATGGCGGCTTCCGGTCTAAATCCTTGCGAAAACGTAATCTCACGAGTTGTTTCTTCTCATGCTACGCCACATAAAATTAAAAATAATAATTTCTCTTTGATCAGGACAAAACTAAAGACGACATGGAGCATCTGTGCCGATTAGTGGACTACGCGGTGGCCATGCGACTTCGCCTCGAAGACGTGAACATACACTCCTTCAATAATTTCGATTTAAGGGTGGGAATCAGCTGTGGGCCGCTCGTGGGTGGTGTGATCGGCGCAAGGAAGCCTGTGTTCGACATTTGGGGCAACACGGTCAACCTGGCTTCGCGTATGGATTCCACGGGTGTCATGGGGAAGATTCAAGTTCCGGAGGAAATTGCCAGGGTAAGCGTGAGGAATTTTAGGAATTGCATTTTATAATAAATAGCAATATCTTCTTGGCGGTTTTTACACGTGATTAACGAAACAATATTATCGAAACAAATAACATCTGCTTTCAAACTATTAGGTCGTCCATAAATTCGTGCCGCGATATGATTATACTTTTTGCGTTACGTTTTGTAATCACAGAGCGATACGAGGCTGACTAAATCTCTATGTTTCAGTTTAGTTAGTACAAGGTACTCGAAAGCGACAGATCGTGAAGGTATAAGAATTTTATGTTTAATAAAATATTATTTTATATGTATGGTAAAATAATAAATGGCACGAACTTATGGGGCGACCTAATATTATAACGTGTATCAAGGACAATTCTTTTTTGGTGCCGAATTTTACTTTTGAAGGGGTGAGGCTACTCCTCGAAAAAAATTCTAATTCTAATTCTTTTGGATTATCTTGAAAACGGTAAAAATAGCGAAAAGAAGTTTAAACGAAAAATACATTGTTCTTTCACGTCTATAAAATTACGAAATAAAATGGTTTAAATTCAAAATTCAAATTCAAAATTGCATCTCGAATGCAAAGAGTTACTACTGAAAATAATTATTTTCTGTTCACGTTTAATAATAAAAGCTTGGAATATTTATTTGGACAGTTCTTAGAATCAAGAGGATATCAGACGCAGAAGAGAGGATTCATCGAAGTGAAAGGTAAAGGAACAATGGAGACTTACTTTGTCTTGGGCAAGGGAAGCTTGCAGGAGCAAGCCTCGACGAAACACACGACAAGATGTCGAAGTCTCGCGGCCGTCGTGTATGGTGTCGTACAAGCACGCCGCAAGCAAATGCGAGCGCTTCGAAGGACATAAGTCTAGTAATCGGTTTCTTTTTTCGATTTGCTAGTGCCTAGATGCTCAAACGGTCCATTTTCTCTGAAAAAGAAGGAAGAAGCATGAAATAATTCTTTTGTTTTACATTGCTCTGTTTTGTTTATAAGTAAGTATATACCAATAATTATATTAAAACGTTAAATGATATTGATTTTGTGAGTTTTAGAAATTTGGAGGATGTCAAAGAATACGTAGGTACTGGTAATACGGTTAATCAGTAGTGCCATTGTACTGAGTCATAACATTTGTTTTATTACATATTTATTTATTAAAATGACAGATTCCGTCTTGCAAAAATGATGTAAGGATTACTTAGGTTACTTTTATTATTTGCATTTGTAGTTACACGTAAAGACTGATAATTTTGTTTAATTATTAACCCTTTGGACTTCCAGAGTTTGCTATCAAAAATACCGAACACACTTTTTGATGAAATATAGTCAATATTTCTTAAAACTAATTTAACGAGAAATTCACATATTAATGCATCATACGAAACTTAACATTAAATATTATACTTCATAATTTTGCTGTACTAAATCGAGTCGCGACTGAGAAGCACAAATAGAGTGCAAAAGGTTAATGAATCTTTCTTTTAATAACGTCAGTTATACAAATCTCTCAAATTCTTAACGTTTTCTAATATCCGAGAAAATTGATATCCATGAGAAGCATAAAATTATTAATTATACTCTTCAAAACACTTTGCATCTTTACAATCTTTCAATTATTTATTATTTGTTGTCGATGAAATTTTTACTCGATGGATTCTTTCCTTCTTCTGGAAATTAAGAGCTTTGGACCGTTTGATGTACCTTACCCTCTAATTAAACTAAAACCTTAATAAATGACACGGAATTGCGAATAACATATTAACCGATAATAATTTCATTTATCGAATGTCTGGTTAATACGTTAATTGTTTGAACATAGTGTCAATCATTGAACATGAAACATTGCATTTGTAATTACATTAAAGTTACTTGCATTGTTTTACTTTTTCTTTTATTTTAGAAGTGTAACCCTTTCGGAGAATGCTTTTTAAACTATTTTGCAAATTTTCGATATTAGTTAATGTTACTGAAGGCAAAAATAATTGTTTTAATTTAATTAATAATGTTTACGTAAATTATTCGTCACATTCATCTGAAATTTTAAATAATAATACGATATATTGTCCTGATCGTTTCCCAAAGGGTTGCAATAAAAATGATTATTTCGCAACTAAAAGAATGAGAAGAGTATATATTTGTATAGCAATTTAAGAGTTTTATAGAGTATGTCAAACATTCGTCTTAATCGATGCATCCAAATTATTAGTCAAATTACTTCCTCCAATTTCGCGGTACCGAATAAATAAATATAAATGTAAAGCTCGATGATTGTAAAGTTCACCGAAATTGTATTTATATCTAGTCAAGCAATAACACCACAATTGACCAAGTAACACATCAATTGACAAAAGAAAAAACAATAAAAAAATATTCACACGAAAAAAGACAGTCTCCATTTGTAAAGAAACAATGATTCTGGAACCGAACGAATAAATTTCTTTTTAATACAATCGGATCACGGACGTGTTCTGCTGCTTTAATCATCAGAGTTTGTGACTTACCTTAATCCTAAATAAATCAGCCTAAAGTCGTCAAGTTGAGAAGTAAGTTTTTCATGCTTTCATTCGGAAAACGAAATCTACATATTAACCCTTTAGATTCCGAAATTATTTTAACATATCATTTTCATTAAAATTGTATTACGATGCAAATGTAATAAAAAAGTTATTCGAAAAAATTACAGTTCAATAGGTTAAAATTAACACATTTATTTGTAATATTATATCGTCGCGGTTCTGTTCATTTTATTTTCTTCTGCAGACCTTTTGATCTTTTTCAGTATCTATTATCCTCATCATTCTAATTTCAATGTTCAAGTTCAACTACATGACGTTTACACCCTCGAAACAGCATAGTAATTGTATATTTTTGATTTCTGAAGCTTGGAGCGTTATAAAATTTATATAATACCTCGCAATAAGCTCACTCAATGAGTTATTATATCTTGAGCATTGCGGTAAGAGAGATGACAGGATTTTGAGTCGATTCTACAACATTCTAAATCCCAAACAGAGATTTTTACTGTTCCTAGTTTGAGAAAAGTAATTTCATTCAAATATTCTAAAGGAAAGAAACAAGACATTTTCGATATCTTATAACATCTCGGAAATACAGTTTAAACTTTCCAAAAATCGACATTATCTAATTTTTAAGAATTAATATTAAGGTAAATCCGAGGTATTTAGTTCGCACAGTTTCATAAATTTCTAAGTATATTGAAATTAAGCTTATAATTTAATTATGATTTTGCCATAGTTGTCGATACGAAATACATAACAAATGGGTTCATGTCTTTTATTGAAATTACTGACTTAAGTAAAAGTCATCTGACGGCTTAAGTTATTTGGAACTATTAACACTGACCGATATCGCCCTGTGATTAAACTATCTCGGACTTACTACGATATTTATGAGTAGACTGCGGATTTCAATGCATGTACGAGAAATTTACAATTGAAAAATTATCCAGAGTGATTATGATGCGAAAAAGTATATAAAATATCAAAAGTATACTGATTTTCAGAATATTTGATAGAAAAATCTATTTTTTATCTTAATACTGATTTTCTGATTTTTCTATTTCAAGATTTGAAATAGCATAAAGCTCCGTAGTCTACAGTTGGGAGCTAACTTGATGTCTTTCTAACTTGCTGTTTCATAGTTTCAATTGGTTACGCGTAACCGTCTCGAAGAACAGTAAATTACCGATCGAAGATATCAGATTTTAAGAAAAGAATCAATAAAAAAGTAGCTGAGAAAATATAGAAACTGATCGATCAGCCGAATCCCTCAGCCATCAAGTGATCTTCTAATAGTAAACACCTACTTATTAGGAATGTGCGCAGTGTCACCAGGGATAAATAAATCGAACCTTCGTACAGCGTTTATTTTTTTGGGAAAAGTCAATTTAATAATAAGTTTGCAAGGGCAGCAGCGTTTCGTGTCGGTAATCATAATGTACAGCTCCACGACAATCTCTCCGTGTGACTGTGTATTACACCGTTCCGGTAAAACACAATATATTTCAATGAACCGTAATAATAATCCATGATAATTAATTAATAGTCGATAATGATAATAATAAGGCTAGCTACAGCGCGAGTCCCCCCGCACGGGGGGACCGCCCGATTTTTCCGACGCTCTGTACACTTTTACAACGTACCTCAATAAGAATCTAATTACATTAATTGAATTACCGTAATCATCGTTTACAATTCGAAACTATAGAACTCGAAGAATGTGTTGGGTGGCGGAGCGTGAACCGTTTCGCGCGATTCGAGAAACCGATGATCCTGTGCTTTCTCTCGAGATCGCAAAATGGCGGCTCGAGCTGCAGCGGTAAACCAAAAACACGGATTCGAATTCCGGATTATCGATTTCTCGAGTAGAAACTCGTGATTTGTAAGTGTGTAAGTATGTGTGTGTATGTGTGTGTGTTAAAGATTTCATTCGCTTCCGTTTCATTCTCCCTTCTTCTTTCATTCTCCTCTCTTTTTTTTCATTCTGTTAAGGATACAAAGGCACTGTACACGTAAACATACAATTATCATAGGAGAGCGCTGTAGGCGGTCCGCGGATGTCCCTCTTTTAGAACGTTAAAACGTGCCCGTTGAAAAATATTCGTTACGATCTCTGCTTTTCTCTTTTTTTCTCCTTTTTTTCTTTTATTTTCCTTCTGTTTCGTTTTCGTTTCGAATCGTTAAGACGCTGCACGCTTAAAATAGGGAGCGGTTTCCTTCGATTCTACCTGCATTGGTCAACGCTATTTCTCTTCGACG